CCTCCACATCCAATCTCCTCATAGATGATGTGCTCCAGGTCATTACATCATAAAGTTCTTGCTCACTTCCCCATGCCCCTCCCTACATCTCCTACCCAAAACCTTAAATCTGTGTCTCCTTACTCCTTGTACCACAGCGAATAGGAATGGTTTTTACTTATCTATCTTACTTATATCTGTCTTAGTCTTATACCCTCCCCCACCCCATCAGGTCTCCTCTCATACTCCTTTGCTCCAAGAATAACCATCTCAGATTCTCTAACCTACCATAGTAACAATGAAACTAAGAGTAGGAGTTGGAGAAGTGACAGAGGGGCTATATATTGTGAAAACACTCATTGCTGGATTTGTGTTTTTGAACAAGGAGTAGTTGAAGTTTGAGTTGAAGATGATTTGGAGCCAAGGGGGTGCACAGATGCAGCTTTTACTGATTGGTCTATGGACTAGTGGCCAGTTATCAATGCCTGCCAACAACTGTGTGATTTGTTCTCAGGTAATTGAACAGTTTGGAACTGGAAACAAGTTACAGAGGGAGAGAATTGTTGAGTTCTTCATCAGCTCAGGAATAGTCTCTCTTTGTTCTCTGCATTCAAAAGTCAGTCAGCTTGGAGAAACCCAATTTATCTTTCTTTTTTTTTCTGCTCAGAGATGTTACTTGGGATTTGAATGGGACTTGAACCCAGGCCTCCCAGTCCAGGGGTAGGGACACTACCATTGCACCTCAAGGGGTTCAATTTATCTTACAGCTGTTGTTGTAAGCTGTGATTTTTAATTGCCTGGTCAGAGACCTTTTACAAGGAGCCTGGGAGGAGGACCTCAGATCTGTGGGAAGATATATGCTCACTATCCAAGGGAAAGGGAGAAATGGGGTGTGATATATTAGACACCTTCATGGGATTACTTGAAATGGGGCAGGAGCAAGCCATTCGGCCCCATGTTCCTCCTGCTCCATTCAGTCAGATCTGATTGTGACCTTAACATCACTTTCCTGAATGACTCCCAAATCCCTTTACTCCCTCACCAATCCAACATCTGTCTGTTTCTGAGTCAGATATATTCGGTAACTCAGCCTCTACTTCTGACTGCAGAACAGAATTCAAAATTACTAACCCTCTTAGACAAGGGAGGCATCTTCATCTCTGTATTAAATGGGAAGCACCTTATTTTTAAACTCTGCCTAATTCTAGATTGTCCCTCTGGATGAACCATTCCTTAGTATTGATTCTGCCAAGCCTCCTCGGAATCATGTACATTTCGCCAAGATTTCCTCTTGTTCTCCTAAACTGTAGACAGCATTGGCTCTGATTTGGGACAGATGCCTGATTTCAGGAGTGAGCTGAGTGTATCTGCCACTGATTGTTCTTTAAGTCAGGAGAATGCACCGTATGCAATACTCTGGCTGGAGTCTCAGCAATGCCCTGGTCAAAGTGAATCGTTCTTTTCCCAGGCTGCCTTGCAGTAAAAGCCAACCTTCCATTCCCCTTCCTAATTACTGGTGTAACTGCACGTTCACTTGATTTGTGTTTGATTCCTCTGTACCTCATCATTCTGATGTCCCCCTCCTTTCAAACAGCAATCTGTTCTCCTGCTCTTCCTGCAGAAATGGACTACCTCATTATTTCCCACATTGTACTCCATCTGCCAAATTTCTGCCCACTCAACACATCTATCTATATCCCTTTGCAGAATATCCCGCTCACAGCCTGCGTTCCTACCTAGCTTTGTATTGGCAGCAAACCTGTGCTCCATTTCAGTTCGTGCTCTCACTCAGCCTAGACATTGATACAGAGGGTTTCATTTTAATGTTATAAATCTGTTTGACAGCATAGGCTTGGTGCTACTTTCAGTTGTGGAAAAGTCCAAAACTAGTGGGTGTGGGGGAGGTGGCAGACATAAGGGCCATGTAAACTAAATAAGCACTAACAAATGCCGTTTATTTTTCCTTTATTCATTCACAGGATGAGGGTGTTACTGGCCAGGTCAGCATTTATCATCCATCCCTAATTACCCAGAGGGCAGTTAAGAGTCAACCACATTGCTGTGGGTCAGAGTCACATGTAGGCTAGACTAGGTAAGGATGGCAGCTTCCTTTCCTAAAGGTCTTTAAGTGAACCAGATGGGGTTTTTTTTTTGCCTGACAATTGATTCATGGTCATCCCTTAATTCCAGATATTTTATTGAATTCAAATTCCACCATCTGCTGCAATAGGATTTGAACCCAGGTCCCCAGAACATTATCTGGGTCTCTGGAGTGACAGTCCAGTGATAATGCCACTAGGCCATTGCCTACTCTTGAAGAATTGGGAACTTAAAGGAGATTTCTTTACCCAGAGAGTTGGGGGGTATGAGTGGAGTATGGGCACAGCCTCCACAGTCTGGGATTATGGAGAATGGCAAGGAGACAGGGAAGAAAAGTGTTTTGTTCAACAGTTGTGAGACAATCAGAAATTGAGAAGGTAAGACTGAATGACAAGACCAATCAGAGAGCTGAGTTCTTGCTCCATTTCTGATTGGCTCAAGGTCATATGATGAAATCCCAAGTGAGGCATCCAACCAGAGATACAGTGATAGGGAGAGCCGGTGATGAAGGAAACAAATAGGGTACTAGAATGCACCCCACTGGCCCCTACAGCTCCCTGCAATTCGACTGCAGGACACTAGTGGTGTCACAGCTTCAAACCAACTGTGACTGAATAATGAGTGGAATGGATTTGAAATTGTTCTGAAATGGAGATAGACTGAACAATCCCAGTGATGGAGAGACTGAGAGTTCAAGGCTATGCAGGCTGATGGTGAATTGGGCTTCTGTGTGATACAGACTGACACCGAGGGCATTGAGGGAGCGCCGCACTGTCGGAGGGTCAGTGCTGAGGGAGCGCCGC